GAAGCCAGGAAGATAACTTGAAATGTCGCGATTCAAAACTCTTAAAGTATTTTTAGTTCTCAAGTGTGCTATCACCTGCTCAACTGAAAACATTGAGTGAGTGAAGTGCTTGTGATTTACTACACTAAATTCAGAACAACTTACCTAAGAACGCCTTCAGCTGATCAGCTTAGATTGTGCCTTGCGCGTAATCTGATGGGAAAGGCCTGGTGCGCCTGCCTTGCTACAAAATAGTGTTATTGGCTAAACCCAGGTGTATTTACCTTTGCCCTAGTAATTTACCATTGCACACTATTGATCTATCTTAGGATAAAATGCCGATCTGGCCTGGGAGTCGGTGGTTGGACGGAAGGGACCAGCTTGGAGGAGGCTTCATTCCTTAAATATACCAAGCAGATAACCTTCTTCTGCCAATGTTTGCTGAGTCATAATGCAGTAAATGCGGTACACTTCAACGACGTACCCTTAAGTGCTTGTTAAACAGAAACTCCGTCCACTTTTCCAGAACGCGCCGCGATCCTCTTCAGCGTGGCTCTCTCAGGCGGAGTGCCTCGATGCGCAGCGTTTTAGTACAGACGAGCTCTCGCCCCGGCATGCGTAATTACTGGACGCTGACAAACGACAGAAGCGCGCTGTTTACTAGCATTTAGGCTAGGTAGCTCTCGGAATCCATTCTATCGGGGTCCGGGCTGTGGTTGGTTCTCTCAAAGGCCCTGAAAAGCTTCACATCAGACTCATTTATGCTTTTAGCTCCAGTACGGGGTTTCACGTATAAAATCTCTGATATTTTTTGTCTATTTTTGAACATGGAAGGTGACTCAAAAAATGTCATCCGTTCAGTGCGTATTGCCGCGCATCGTATTTCGTTCAAGGGCTTTGAGTTCCTGAAAAATGTGTTCCGGGTTTAAGTTTTCGTTCTTTGTAGTACGTGTAAACACAGTTTTACTGTAAAGCAGTTTTCGGCCACAATAAATCTCAGACACCTGAACTATGACAATTTTTGCGTGTTGTCTCCGTTGGCGATGCAATGGCGAAAAATGCTGCTTTAAAGAAGGGATTGTACGGATTTCAACGCTGACATAGAATGTAGTTTGAGGCATTCATTTCACTTGCAAGGAAAAATCAGGGCGTTATGAAAGCTACGCCATTCCTTAAAGTTTTGCCAGCTTGGTCGTTGCTATCATCGGAGCGTAGGTAGTTTTTAATTTTTTCGGCCACCTCAGCCTATTTTTTAGCCTATTTTTCAATATTTTCCGGGCCACCGACCCGTGGCGTGGAGGGTTCGAGCCGCTTTACGTGGTCGCTACTTGCTCCTAACGGCGATGGCATGCCACCGCTGACAGTAGCCGCAGTAAAGGTCAGGTGACCCCAGAGTACAGGTCGGGACCTGCCGAGCATTACAGCACGCTACGACTTCGCCGAAAAATGATGGTGCTGGACTGGAGTTTGCCGATTGGATGGCGGGGTCGGGGGTTACATCATGCGCGCTGGACTGTAGTTTGCCGATTGGATGACGGGGTCGGGGGTACACCACGGGCGCTGGACTTGAGTTTACCGATTGGATGACGGGGTCGGGGGTTACACCACGCGCGCTGGACTGGAGTTTGCCGATTGGATGGCTGGGTCGGGGGTTACACCACGCGCGCTGGACTGGAGTTCACCGACTGGGTGGCGGGGTCGGGGGTTACACCACGCGCGCTGGTTGGCGTAGGCGCTCATCCCAGAAATCCATCCGAGTAAAAGGCCTCGACTAAATTTTGATACTAATGCAGATACTACTTCTACTTCAGTTATTACCACTACTACTACAGCTCACTACTTCTTCCACCACTACGTGTATTACTATTGCTGCTTACTCTCATGCTATTTACAATTCTAATATGCCATGCATACTACTAATACTACTTTTAAACAAAAAGATGTTATCTCACGCCACAGTCCGAGTCACTTAACTTTATCAGCCCTTTAAGATCAAACCACCTATTGTGCATACCAAACCACCTAATGTTGTACAGGCTATGTTGATAACACGAAAGCAGCACGCTACATCTTCAAAACGTTGCATGCTACAACTGAGCCATTCGGATTGTCTTCTTAGAGACCGTCAGCAATGCATCGCTGATCGTGAAGAAAGTACGTTGTCGCATGGTGATGTATTTTGGAACACTCTTCGTGCGGATTAATATTTTTGGAAAAAATGCTTATTTCATTGGACCTTCACAGCCTTGATATGCCCGCTTTGGAAACAAATCAGTTTTCATGAAAAAACATACAATCCATCAAATGAACTCGTCCTCCAGTGGCTGGTGTTAATATCGAGATATTGCAAACTTCTTTAGTGCAAAAGAAACCCTAGTGCAGGGAATGTGCCAAATGGATCAGGAAAGTTAGCATAACTTTCCCCTGTTTATCTCAGATATGATCTTGCGATAGGCTCAATCCCTTTAAACTAAATTAAGCCGTCGTTGATCAGAGAGCACCCAAGTCCTCCATTCCTTTTTTGTCAGAAGCTCGCAATGAGTGGCGTCAGGAATATGAGTCTGTTCAGCACCATTCAACAAATACACAATATACCCTGTAAGAAATATCATGGGTTGCTGCCCATTCTAAATCCGGTGAAAGATTACGCCATTATATTGGCTGACAGTGTATCATTTTTTCATCTTCATGCTCCTTATGTATTAACCCATGATTCTTAAGGCTTGCCCTAGTTCATTGTATGACATATGTCGCATGAGATTGTGGGTTAAAAAACGTATTGAAAAGGTCAGACTGTCGCCAGACTTGCTGCAATGATATGATGAATTGATCTGTTGTATCATGCTTGGTTTTATCCCCCGTTTGTGAGTTTGTCGGTTTCACTGGAAGTGTTTCTGATTAGTTGATGAGTCCTGCGCTGTACCTTTAAAGCATCAGAATTCCCTAACCACACCCAAATTCCATCTCAGTTGATAAGAAAGATACCGTCTTGCGTATATAAAAACAGTAAGTTGGTCGCAAAACAAGATCGTAAGATATGCGGCAGGATGATGTTGCCAAGTCAATAATTGAACCCACTAGGCCACGTCAAAGCCCGAAGTTCCTGAAAATCACACTACTTCCGCTTAACCCGCTCATGCGTACGAAATCATGTGCGTTAGGGACAGGAAACTGAAATAAGCGTGTTCCTGTTTAACTCTGAGAGCGATGGTATGCGGTTTTGTTTGCTTTGAGCGTACATTTATGATGGCGGGCTTCGTCGACGTGACAGCGTCGGCCAGCTACACACGGGCAGCTGATTCGCCGCTTACCGTCCGCGCCGACAGCAGATGACCATGCAATGTTCTTAAAACACACAAGTCCAGTCTGCCATGTTCCTTAAAACCGTCGTTATTCGGAAATCAGAAACGCTGGAGGCGCGTGTCTGATTTCAAAACACGGGCAATGGATGCCCCTGGCAATACCAAAAATTTGCGTGTGATTGCACGACACGCCAGGAAGATATCCTCAAATACCTTAGGGTGGGTCTCTTTGACCCACCTATAAGGGCGAGGGTTAGGCTACAGCTTGCCAGTAAATTGAGCTGTTTTTCATTGGGTTGACACATAAGCATGTTTCATGATCGGTCCATGGAATGAACAGGTCATCTAACGTCACGTCAAATGAATAAATGATTTATTGGTTGGCACTGTAGACGTCGCATGGTGAAGGCTTATAAAGTGTTCATATAAATCGGCCAAGAAGGCGTGTGCAGTGTTTCGTATTGAGGCTAAAGCCATGTTTTAGCCTTTTTCACCCAGCATGGCCCTGGAGAAAAACTTATTCATTACTCATGTGTTATGATGATTGCTATATTTGATATGTGCTGCAGATAGAGCTAATAGCTATACACAGTTTTGCGCTCCAGTGCCAACGTAATGAAGGGGATTCCGACGTCTTCAAAGATGAACCCTTTCCATTTTCTCGATATGACCTATCTCAAAATGGTACGCTGTCTATCATACAACTTCATATTTTGTGCTAGGGGTGTAACTCACGCCTCTTCATAAACGAAAAGTCGCCAATATGTCAGCAGCAAATGCGAGAGATCAACAGCCCATACACAAATATTCGCCTCTGGCTAAATTCATTGTCGGGCTGAGCGCCTGAAACGAGCTCCTGAACGGGTCTCAATAAGCCAGCTCTAAACACTTAATTTTATTCTAGGCTACACTATGGGGCCAAGGCTCCGTATATGTATGTATATATATATATATAGAGAGAGAGAGAGAGAGAGAGAGAGAGAGAGAGAGAGAGAGAGAGAGAGGAGAGAGAGAGAGGGAGAGGGAGAGAGAGAGAGAGAGAGAGAGAGAGAGAGAGAGAGAGAGAGAGAGAGAGAGAGAGAGAGAGAGAGAGAGAGAGAGAGAGAGGAGAGAGAGAGAGAGAGAGAGAGAGAGAGAGAGAGAGAGAGAGAGAGAGAGGAGAAGAAAGAGAGAGAGAGAGAGAGAGAGAGAGAGAGAGATATATATATATATATATATATATATATATATATATATATATGTATGTAAATAAACTCGCTTCCTTCCCCTTTCCGAAATCCCAAATGTGTGAGGCTTTGGGTGGACGCACACCCGACGCACGTCACACCTGCTCGCCGCCTGACAAGAGTGACCACTTCTCATGTCAGAGCGGTGTATCAGGCTAATAGCGTCTTCGAGGGCCAGCCCTGGAGACCCCCGACAACGCCATACGTCTCTTCCAGCTCCATGTCGTCGGGGCTAGTGTCCTTGGTCATATTACCAGCGCCGTCTTGTTTTTGCCAGCAGTCAAATGAGTGTAGTGAATGTATATATATATATATATATATATATATATATATATATATATATATATATATATATATATATATATATATAATGTAATGGTATATATATATGTATATATGCATGCGTGTATTCACCTGTCTGTCACATGACAGCTGTGTCATGCTTTGTGGCGTGTTCGACTGTCCCGTTGACAGTTTTGTGTGACGCGGGCAGCGATCTGTCCGACACGGCGCTCCTGTCGCTGCCCACGGTCGGCCTGGAGGACATCGAGAGGCTCCTGGTGAAGCGGACGCCGTCGCTGATGACGTTCCCTTCCGTCTACCACTTCGGCTCGATCGAGGAGGCGCACCTCACCTACCCGTACCACTGCTGCGCGTTCGACTTCCCCGCCATCCAGGACCCCGATCAGCATCGCAAGTATCAGGTCGGTGACACAGAAACGGCCGTCTGGGCCGACTGTAGAGAGATATCACACACGATGAAGGCATCACCATGCCAGTCGCCAGTACTCTTGCTAAGACCCAGGTAAAGGGAGTGCATCCGATCATCCTCGTCAGGCAAGGGGGTGCTGCATCTCAGCTGGGTTTCAGCAAGACTCTGCGGGGGGTGAGGCGTGGTGTCAAGCGAGGGGTGCTGCATCTCAGCTGGGCTTCGACAAGACTCCGCAGGGGGCGAGGCGTGGTGAAAATGTTCAGGTATGAGCTTGTTCATTTTGGAGCAAACTTCCTCGGATTAGATTGGGGCAAAGATCAGGTCAGGGTGAGTTCAAGGATCGAACCGCATCCATTGTTTGGCAGTGGGTTCAGTTAAATGCTGTACACTTGCTGCAGACAAGTATTCTGTCCAGCAGGCCCTCGGCCGGAGAACGGCCAAATAATGAGCAGCGCACAAACAATATTTAAACACCATTACGGGTCTGCGAGGCAAGACGGATTGTTTCCAAATCACCCGTTTGTGTGGATTTATTTCTCAATGTTTTAAAGTTCATGGTTTGAAAAGGCTGGGGTTGCGATCATGGCCCGATTTGTGTTCTTGATGAAGCGTAGATGTCAAACATCTCGGTAAATTCTCGCCGCTCTTATGATGGTACGATGTTTTCACCAAATACCTGATTTGGACACTTTAAATTAGTGATGTTTTCGGTAAGGTACCAAAAGCGGCTGTGCGTTCAAGATTGAGGTCTTAACAGCACATCCGTCAGGCATTTTAAGGTCATACCTAAATAGGTTGATGCCTAACGGGATTGAAGGGCAACCCGAATTCGACCAGGCGACTGTGGGAGTCACCGCGCAAAGCTGCGTTGCCAGACCCGCACTAGAATAGGGCGAGGAGTGCCCTGCGTCAGTTTTGGCCCTTTTCAAGCCGCTTTGCAGCGGGACTGCTCTGCTGGCTCAAAGGCGATAGCGGGCCAATCGGAGACGTCTGTGCATTATAAACGGGGCCTCCAGCGGAGTAAGCGAAACCTGGGTCCACACGCCACGACGTGCAATATGGCGTCCTGCCAGACCCCAACGTGTCCGGCCTGCAGAAGCGCTGAACCTTAAAGTGGATCGATCTGTCTGCTGACGGCTTGCTGATGATTCAGCAGGCTGAAAGCCTCTGCCACCTCATCTGTCCAGACGTGTTGGCGATGACTTCGGACCTCGATACGTTACTAGCGATGAACCTCTCTTTGGCACTGCGTCACCAGCGATGCCTTAGTTGGATTTCTAAGTCAGTGTTGCCAGGACATCAGTGCCGGTCAGATGCAGGTGTGTCTGGACCAGTCCTGCCATTACTGAGTCTCCGGTGCAGTGCTACCCCGCTGTTTACGAGTCGGCAAAGCTAATTGTGCGCTGTCGGTCACGGGCCAGCACGGGCATGCCGGTCTTGCTCAAGCGCTAAGCCGGCCGTGTACCGGCGTGTTCTGGACACCCAGTTGTCAGCACATTCAGACAACTTGATCGTAGCGCTTACACTGTCCTTCAATGGCCCCCAATTAATTTGGCATGTGTTCGAATATAGCAAAAACCACAGATGTGAATGTTTGGAAATTACAGACCAGTGTTGACAGATAAACTGAATACAGAGAATAAGTGGCAGTTCATCGAACTTAGGACATTTGACTCTCCGAATGATTATGGGTGCATGTGGCGATGGGACGCTAACCATCCGAATTGTAGGCGGTACATGATCTGATATAACAGCGTACAAAAAGCGTGCAAATCAAGTAAATTGGCTTAGGATGATGAGCATAATTTCACGAATGATATCGGAAACATCTCCAATTGGGCTGGTTGATCGCATGATAATAGACTCGGTAAGCACAGTGAAGGGCAAAGATCAAACTTCCCCCGTCTCCGCAATAGGACCCGTTGTATTGCTGCCATCCCGTTTAGCGAGCAGAAGAAAGTAAGCCCCCTCCGTCACTTTTGGCCTTTTTCCACCACCCCAACAACCTTCCACAACGATCGGTGTTCGCCGCGCGCGCGCGCGGACTGGCACCATAAGCGGCGCACCTGCGGCACGTCCGCCGATGCTTCTCAGGACTGGCAGCGGCAGCTGAGCCGGACCCGCACCAACTGCTCGGGCGGCGCCGCGCGCGGCCGGCTGGCGAACGGCGCCCGGGCGGTGGGCGACGGCGTCTTCCACACGGCCGTCGCCGAGGAGTCAAGCCTCTCCGTCTGCGAGCAGGGCCGCGCCACGCGCCTGCGCAGCGTGCGCTGTCTGCCGGCGCCGGACGCCTTCAACCCGTGCGAAGACATCATGGGTTACCGGGCGCTGCGGTGAGCCCGTCCTGCCAGGGGCCCCGGGCTCTGCCGCCTGGTGGCGTGTGGCGCGGTGTTTTTGGCGCACGTGCCGAGCTCGCCATTAGCTTTTCATCTGTGTGTGGGAACTGTAGGCGGTGAGTGTCGCTGACGTTGGCGCCGGCTGGCGAGAAATACATATTCATGCCGGCGACGTGTCGATAATGACATGCTCTGTTCCACCCGGGTGTTGGTCGGTCGTGCGGGAATGACATTTATGACTGAGAACCGTCTCCGTCCTGTGTCCCAGGGTCACCGTTTGGTGGTGGCTGGTCGGTGAAGTCTCCCTGCTGTGTCCCCAGGGTCGCCGTCTGGGTGGTCGTCGTCACCGCCATAGTTGGGAACGTCGCCGTCCTGGTCGTCCTCATCAGTCGCAGCTTCAAGCTCACCACTCCCAAGTTTCTCATGTGCAACTTAGCATTTGCGGACCTCTGCATGGGCGTCTACTTGTTGATTATCGCCAGCATGGACATCCACACTATCGGCGTCTACTTCAACCACGCCATCCACTGGCAGGAAGGTGGGTGTCGACATGAATGAAGAAATGCTAATTGCGACTGCGATTTCGTTGGACTCATTCTTCAGGGCATTGCAATCTGATAAAGTGTCCTTAGATTGCCGATTTTTCAGCGGCCGCAATTTCAGCCCGGTTGAAGAGATTGGCATCATGTTGGACCTCGATTAAGGTGCCAAAAGACTCGCTCCATTGGCAACGGTTCTGTTCAATAGCGCACGTTCGCGTTGCAAATGGGTGGTGCCAAACGATTTGGCGTAGAGCTGAGGGGCCAAGCTGGCAGGACCTTAGCGGAAACAGATTTTGCGATATGAGCTAGTCTTGGCATTTAAATATGCTGTCAGTGTATGCTTTCTGAGCTTCATGGGCACAGTTTTAAGCAGGAGATCTTGTCAAATGAGGCAAAATTGTTGCGCTTCGTGTTCCATATCTGTTCTGGAGGACGTTTGCAATGTCACGCGGTCTCCAGGTGTAGTTTATTCACAGAGCTGTGAGTTGTGGTCGCAGTTGGCCTGTGTCGACCTGCCATATTCGTGGCTTCTCGTCAGTTCACGCAACTTAGCGTTCTAGCCAGACCCGCAGCCGATTTGCCGTGCGCCGCTGTTGAAGGATACAGAGGCGCGCCTCGTGAGGGACGGGCTATGGGGGATACAGAGAGCATTGGACTTGCGGAGCAGGCAAGCTGGTGACAAAATATTTTTTTTTTAAAACATCGCATCGGTGAGTGCTACAAAGAATCGAGCTATCATGCTGCTCCTTAAGCGTGGCTGTTTTTGAACGTAAGTCATCACTTGGTGTCGTGAAAATATAAGTGCCATAAAACTGAGCAAGGTTACCATGGCCAGTACCAGCCTCTAAACGTTTAGCGCCTATTCATGCCTGGATCTCTCTCTCTCTTTGTGTTGCAATTGTGGCCCATTATAACTGCGATAATAATCACTTTGATCTCAGCTTGATAAAGGGCTTATGAACCCCTGGCATCATGCCACACACAAATTAATTTGCTTTAACGAAACCTATGCATTGCAAAACTGCCTAGTCGATTATATTTTTCAAGAGGGAGAAGAACGTGGCTTGCTAGTATTACGCGCGTTCCCAACCCTAATCCGGACTATATTTTGACCATTTGCAGCTTCAAAGGGTATGGTCCAGCCACCCATTGATAGCGTTTAAAACACCTGAGGCGTCATTGAATGAAATAACAGGAAGGGAATAGCATCAAGTTGTGGCTCTTCGCGGAACTTCCATGAAGTATTTCAAATCGCTTCCACTGGTACCTCTCTCAGTGTTGATTGTGTTCGCTCATATACCTTGTTATCCTTTGGCTGTATTCTGTCTTCAAACACGCCAGTCATGTTGGTGCACGTGGAAGACTGAAACGGTGTTGTGTAGTGTTCCGACGCGGCAGAAAATGTAGCCTTGTGCGCCAAGGAAGTGCAGTGTCAACTCACCTGCACTAAGGTCAACTCTTAGCACCCCATCTTTCTCAATTTATGAATAAGTGATCAGTAGTTTACTTTTGTGTTTGGTTTGTTCGTTGCTTCACCGGAAATACGTTCAAATCGAATGCACGATGCAGGATATCATCTACTTTCTTCATGATTTGTGCTTTCTTAACAACGGTAATGGATGACTGTGTTGTCTTAACTTTGGAGCAGCTTCCCTTGCTTCACAAGTGTCTTCAGTAAAATTGTTTTTGTTAATACGGTCCCTGCATCCACCTGCAGAACAATCAAGAGCATGAGCGCTTATATGAAACTCGTTTTCATTTTTTAGCTTCAAAATGTTTTGATAGAGGAGTTTACATCCTGTTTCATTCCCTGTTTCATCAAGCTCAGATAGAGCGCGGCACTTAAGCCCAAGACTTTATGTTCGTACTTGGCAGTAAGTTAAAACAAAGATGGGTTGATGCACCCGCCCTGACGCTCCACGAGAACCAGTTTTCCACCGTCCAGTACAGACAGCTTTTAAAGTTTGTAGCTTTGCCACATGTTTCGACCTCCACCCATTTGTGATTCGTGCCATTAATGATTCCTTTTGGGTGAACGTCATTATTATTGTCCTCTTCGTCAATGTCTTCACGCAAGTGACCCAGCTGTTGATGCTCGGTCTGGCCAAACATAAGGTGTCATCTTAAGTCTTCAGTAGATGGCTTGTTTTTCTCTACTGTATCGTACTGTTTCACTTCCTTGTGCCATGGTAATGAATCTTCTGTTCCGTACGTTCTGTTATTTTTAAGTAAATTGCTTGTCATACTCTGCCGCGTCGCATCGTCTTACATTCGTCTTCTGTTGCAATAAATCTCCGTTAAAAAGGCCTTTTTAGATGCGTGGTTGACTGCGTTGTTCTTGTTGCGTTGCGTTGTGTTGTTGCGTTGTTGACTTTGGCGGGTTTTTCACCGTGTGTCTTTTCAATCAAGAGCAGACTTTTGCCTTACTATGCGCAAAGGCTTGATCTATTCGGATATCAGTAAAGTTTTGATTAAGCAAGAATGGGATCGGAACTTCTTTGGCATTATATCTTGTGTTGGTGTCGTGAAACGATGCATATTGCAAAAACATACTCTGGGGAAAGCTCAGCACCAATTACCTCTGAAAGTAGCACTGGGTAGCACAAAGTAGCCTTTGCAGCACCATCAAGATATGATTGGGACAATAATTTTAGCTATCCTCGAGGCCAAATTACGCTGCTAACATTTTGTCACAGCACTGTCTTTTTTTCTTTTTTTGGCAGCCCCAGAGTGTTGCCCCAGCCTGCGACAACCACAGCTGTCAACTGTCGTCGCCATGACGACGTCAGAATCTTTTTAAAGAGAATGTTCCACAGTTAAAGATATTGAGGTGGGCATCAGATATGATGGGGAAGCTTACTTGTAGCTAGCGGTAAGCTTTCAAGTTTCAAAAACGACGCTAGGTAGCAAAATTTCAAAGTTTGTGCAAATGCGTCCCATTACGTCACTGTATGATGGTGTCATTAAATGGTTGTGTGACGACAGTAATACCTGGCAGCATCTGGCAGCCAGACCTAAAGAATACCTCGAAACACACGAAAGCTGACGCCAACCGGCCGGTCTCGTCGCGGGTGCCGTGTCGGGTGGCGGATTAGTGCGTGGTTTGTGCATCTTTGTCGTGGTGCTGGCCGTAAGAAAAGCTTTGATGGACTGTTCGACACACGCAACTTAGCGATCGCCAACATGTATGGCAGATCATAAATATAAAAGCACGATATGCTGTGCTGCTACTGTTGCTGCTATGCTGTGGATGATTTTGTCAATACTTTATTGTCGACCCATCGTTGCCTGCAGTGCTGTAGTCCTGACAATGATATCATGTGATGTGCACAGTAGTTGCTGTCTTTGCTGTTTGTAACTGGGAATGCGACGTCATACGAAAATTAATAAATTTGTAACGTTGCTATGAATTGAGTGTCAAAGCATTGCTATTGCTGTGGTAAAGATGGTAAGGTTGGGCTGACAATTTTTTTTTTTTGCTTGGGATTATTTATGCAATTGATAGTCAATCCTGATATAACCATTGTGATGAAATAACATTCCTGCCGTTGACAGACCTTTGGCATTGTTAAATCAGTTATTACCAGTCATTCATAAATTATAAGCTGCTGTCTCACAGGCTTGACATAGAGTAGTCAACCAATGTGGCACGTTGTGTAATGGCAAAGGTCAATAGCTTGTGGCACTACCTCAGTGCTGTGCTGTGTCATAACATAATGAACAACGATATGGTTTTTGTACTGCAATCCATGCTGCTTTCATAATAAATTACATCATGAAAAGATGGGTCAAGTGTGCTCTCTTGTATTGACTCCCCATCTGACATACGAATGACCAAAGACACATGAAACAATATACAAATCACTTTCAGCAACGTAGACAACCAATAAGGGGCATCACTTGCTCAGCCTGTTTTGGGAATCCACAAAACGCAGGTGAGAAAGGTGCAAACACGTCTTCCATTTCCGCAGTCAGGCAACATGCTGCAGGCATCAGCCTGCTGTACCAAAGAAATAACAGGGAAGTTTTGCATGTGGTGAAATGACACTGCAAACATGCTGACCTCGCACAAGGCTGGAGACATGACAAGTGCAGTAGTCATGGTCGGATGGGCAAAATGCAAGGAAGTGATAAAGATGCCAGTGCATACAAGGCTCATGATAAAAATATTATGAAGTGCTATCCAAGACACCAACAGCTACACTTTTCCGCCTTTCTCAGCACCCAGCATCTCACGCAAGTTGCAGTGACTATGGCATTGATGACTCACGAGCAATGCCCGCCTGCATACAAAATTTGGTGAAAACAGTACAATGTGCATCAGTAATAATGCAGCTCTATCTTTTCAGAATTCTTTAGGAAAGACAATTTTCCAAAACCATATAATGTGAGCCTATGCTGAGCATGTCCATTAATGAGCTGTACGCACCAGCCCCTACTGTCAAAATGAATGGGTGATATATTGGCATGCAATTGATTAGTTTCATACTGTAATACCGCAATAGGCTCAAAGTGTTGGCAAGACCATAATGAAATTCCAGGTTGCCTTTGTATACCCCTGTAACATAAATGCTAGTGTTTCTCTTAGTTTGCTAGCATTCTTTTGTCATGTTCAAACACACACAAGAAGGTAAACGAAGGTATCAACATATCATATTTTAATGTGAGTCAGTAGACTTAAAGAATACCAAACCAATGCTCTGTCTCATAAGTACAAACCTCGCACGCAGACTCCCCATCACATCGAGATCAATACAAGCCACTGGCACACACCACCAGTGATCAAACACATTTCAAGCCCTGATTCACACTCTTTTGTTAAATAAGTGTAATCTCACACTTGCACAGCTCGCGGGACTATCAAATTGCAGGTTTTCTTGCAATTTCTGCACAGATTTTCAGTCATAGCACTGCATTTCACCTTGGCCTCCCTTCAAATTTATTAGCGTGGCCTCCCTTCAAAACGAAGTCCCAGCAGGGGTTCATGGCGACGCGTCTCAAGAGGTTGTACCTGAAAAACACAATTTTTTGTTCAAGATCGAAATTTGCGGTACATTATGTGAAATATTTAAATGTGTATATATATATATATATATATATATATATATATTATATAAGATCACTGTAATTTTTCCCTAGTTTCATGATATCTTGCTAGCCCATAAACCCGTGCAAGGTGTTGTGCTCCGGTACACAAGGTGCCAACCGAGCTGTCTGTAAGGGATACGTCAATAGGAGAAGAAGAAAACGTCAGCAAGAAAAAAAGAGATTTGCCGTCGCGTCTTCTTTTTTATAACTTTTGGGAGTGCCCTTTTTCGGGTGCCGTACTTTTTTGCCGATAGTGGCGTTTTTTGTAACATTGACCTGCGGCCTAGAAATAAAAAATGGCCCGTTCACGACGAGTGCCGCACAACCCGAAAGTTCTCACGCTTGCGTTCGCGACACGTATTCAGCAGCGAAATCTTGCCAACAGCCAATCACCTTCCGCGCATTGTATCATAGTGCCGCATCATCGCTTTTGCGAATGTATCAGCGGCCATGCTGTTTTGAACATAAGCAGAAACGGCCTGAAGTATGACCGCCATCGCATGACGTTTCAAGGACGTCATTAATGCCGAGGCAACTTTGAAATAGGCTCCAAATAAACCTTTCCGCACTTTTGCGGGCGTGTAACTCAGAAACCAGATTGTTTTGGGTTTTGAAAAGGACATGACCATGAACTGCATCAGCAGGTCGTCACGATGACTATTTCAGTTCAAAACGCCGTATAAATGTGGAACATTCCCTTTAAAGCCGTCGTGAGCTGATGCGGACTAGATTTGCCGATTCTGAACTCTCTCAACCCGTACATTGCGGGTCGGCGGAGTAAAAAGTAGCACCTCTACTGGTATGAATGGCGTTGGTACAAATGAAAGTTTGTAATCGACACGGGTGGTGACGAAGATCATTTACCGAGAACAGAATCGATTGAGGCTTGACCCAGTGTGTCACTGTAGATCATGTGATGCTCCGTATTCAAAACCAAAGTGTGTGTCGCAAAGTGGCACCGTTGTAAACGCCATGAGATAAAATCCAAAGCTGTCGTATGTCGTTGCGTTGAATTCCCATTGTAATAGCTTCATGTTTGTATATTTCCTCCAATGAAAAAAGAGTATCAAGCTGTCGTAGCATTAACTGCGCAGGCATTTTGGAGAAATATGTGCATTGAAAACTTCACAGATCGCACACGTTTGAAAAAGCAAGGCAGAGGAAACTTATTACTTACAAAGTGATGAACAATGAATGCATTAGGTTTTGCCCGCCAAAACGGCTACTTTCACTTGAAATTCTGAGTTATTTAGAAGGATCTCGAAAAAATAGTATCGCCGATTACATCGAACACGTTTGATCCAACAGTAATTGAAAAATACAAAAAGGTGGAATAGCCTCTTTAAGTGAACAGGGTCGTTTGTGAGTCGACTGTCATATAAACTTAAGCAGCCAGTATAAATTCAAAAGCATGAAAGCTCACGTTCGCATTTTATGTGTGCACTTAACTATCAGCCTAAACTATGTGCACTAAACCTATACGATTTTATCAAAATCAGTGCTCTTTTATCTCTTATGAAGCCCGTGGAATGGGATATCTGAGAAACTGTCCTCACCGGAGTCGATTCCATCGAAGTCGATGCCAGACTTCAGCAATATCCCCTTGAGTTGGAATAGACGCAGACTCAGTAATGCGCCGTGCTTTACGAGGTCGTAAATGGAGCCGACGCCATTTGTGTGCCATCTCAGTGAACCCGCACGACTCTCTTCGGAAACGCTGGTGCATAGCTAACCGGATATGGTTTAGGCACAATGAGTGGCAGTAAGTCAAAAGGAATGCACTATGACACCGTCTATGGAGATCGTTTCTCAGCTGTCTTCATCGGCAAATAGACATGATGCAATCTCTGGTCCATTCCTGGGTCCCGTTACGTGCCGTTGCTTCCGTCTTACTGCCGACTGACAGATATACATGCATAGCCACACCACGTACCCGGATGATGTAAGATTGCCGCGCCGCGTCAGCTGTTCTGTCGACGCTTGAGGTCTTCAAACTGACCTCAGCCAACTGGCTGGGTGGTCTCGAACATAGCAGCTTGAACTGAATGCTGCGCTTTCACTTTTGCTTTAGGAGTTCGTCGATCACTGCATAGGTACCAGCTGAGTGGCTCTGCGCTGGCGTGGGGCAAGGAAGCGCGGAAATTCAGTGTATTCCCGACGCGCAGCTTACTTCTGTGCTCATGCAGGCGCACCAGTATCAGATGCAAACTAATGGCCGGGCTTTTGATCCGCGCGTGCAGTCCCCCGCCACGCCTCGCTCACACGCAATAAGAGCTTTGCTTGGCGCATTTAGCGCACATGTCCAGCCCGCTACGCCGAGCGGCCGCTTGGTTTGGTTTTGTGTTGCACTTTCTCACCTCAAACGGCTGGAACGGGCCCAGCATAAATGTCTTAACTAGCTGCTTTGCAACTCTTCAAAACAAACTCTGTAACAATCGGGGTTACTCAAATGTCCCCGCTTACTAAAGGCATTTGTAACCGGTGGCGAAATTCCATTTGCCGGGGTATCACCATTCAAAATGCGCCACTTACTTCCACCCCGTTCACAGGCACATCGGTGCTCGGTGTGGGGGGGGGGAGGCAATGATTAGGGACAATACTGTAATCACTATGTTGTGTGCGTTGGTGTCGTACTCTGACCAGCCTGTGTGTATGACAACGATGCCTCATCAATTTTGGACTTAACCCGTCACCTGGCTTCTATCTGCTGGTGATCTTCCTAGCATAACAAGCGATAAAAAACAATCAACCAGACTGAAGTGTGAGCAGGCGCAGGTCTGATCACAGGTATAGATAACATATTTGACACAGATCACAGATCAAATCAATTAGATAACAGATCACAGGCCACAGATAACAGATTTAAAGAAGATTTCTTGTTAGTATATGTGTGTTTACGCAGCATAGAACGATGGCTTTCCCGCTTTGACGTCGCGGCTAAGAATGATTCTCTTATGCTAGTAGGTGTCCACGTCCGTCAACGAACACCTTTTAATTAACAGCTCACGCGTTCTGTGACATCCCATTAACCGTTGAGTTTTACATGACGCGGTCGCAAATTACGCATGAATAGTCTTTCAGTGATGAGGTGTGGTCCTCGATGCGTCCTGTGTCACCGTCTGGTAACGCAGGTTATGGTTTGTCTCACGGAAGGTGGTGCCCTTTGGCTTGACCATATTCTCGTTGACATGCAATCGGGCACAGGCCGCGAGCTGATGGATCGTGGGCGCTCGGGCTCAGTTCGCCTCGTTTGCACTAGTTAGCGTTGACCTTTAGTCGAACAGCACAAGTTTGAGGCCTTTCTAGCCTATGATGTGTGTTGCGACTTGAGCAGCTCGTTCGACATGCCCGTTCGCCTGGTGGAAGTCGGGTTCGAAGTTGAGCAGCTGGGACCCTCATCGGATGATGAAGGACCGGCTCTCGGCGGATGCGTCAGACGAACAAGTCGTGCAAGCCTCTTGTTGACCGCTGTAGACGCCTCTGAGGCAGGCGCACGTATCTTGATTCAGCAGCGGTGTTTGTCAGTGTGTGTCACATGCTGGGCACGTGGAAGTCGGCACAGGGCACCGTCGCCCGGAGTCCGCCGGGCCGTGTGGTCGCCTGCAGGAGGGTGTTGGGTCATATCGCTGAGGCGGGTGTCACTCTCGCCGTGTCCGGCGGTCGTTAGCCGGGGGGGGGGGGGGGGAGGGAGGCAGGCGATAGGAAGTAGGAAAAGAGGACAGTTGCTGATGAGCTGGGTAGAACACGCCGAAAGTCAGCGAGAAGCTACGTTCAGGTCAGGGCTGACACACGTTCTAACGTCACAGGTACGACAAACTCCACCACGCATGTATATATATATATATATATATATATATATATATATATGTATATATATAGTCTTTTCGTGCACTTGTGCCGCTCTCGGCCGTTTTTACAAAAGCGTAAATTGACATTGACAAACTGGTGGAGTTTGTCGTACCTGTGACGTTAGCACGTGTGTCAGCCCTGACCTGAACGTAGCTTCTCGCTGACTTTCGGCGTGTTCTACCCAGCTCACCAGCAACTGTCCTCTTTTCCCACTCCCCATCGCCTGCCTCCCCCCCCCCCCCCCCGCCAGCTAACGACCGCCGGACACGACTAGAGTGACACCCGCCTCAGCGATATGACCCAACACCCCCCTGCAGGCGACCACACGGCTCGGCGGACTCCGGGCGACGGTGCCCTGTGCCGACTTCCACGTGCCCAGCATGTGACACACACTGACAAACACCGCTGCTGAATCAAGATACGTGCGCCTGCCTCAGAGGCGTCTACAGTGGTCAACAAGAAACTGCACGACTTGCTCGTCTGACGTATCCGCCGAGAGCCGGTCCTTCATCACCCGATGAGGGTCCCAGCTGCTCAACTTCAGACGAATATATATGTACATATATGTATATGTATACATATATATATATATATATATATATATATATATATATATATATATATGGCATGGAGCTTTGACTTTGAAATGTCAGGAGCATTCTGGTTACAAAAATGGTTTGTATTCACTCAAGTACGTATCTCCACCCCACCCCACCTACCCACCGTTGATATTCTGTTGCGAGTCAAGCAAACGTGTTCACAACCGGCCTGTAGAGTGGCTGCACATCCCAGGCGTGTCTCCGCTGTGATCTCCAGGGGTCGGCTGCCAGGTGGCCGGCTTCGTCACTGTTTTCGGCGCCGAACTGTCCGTGTTCACGCTGGTGACCATCACCTGCGAGCGCTGGTATGCCATCACCAACGCCATCTACCTGACCAAGCGGCTCCGGATCGGCGGTGCTGTGAGGTGGGTGACGCTCGGGCGGGGTGATGGTCGGGGCGGGGCGGCGCTCGGGGCTGAGGACGGGTCGGGGCGGGTTGACGGTCGGGATTTGGGACGGGTCGGGGCGGGGGTGACGGTCGGGGCTGAGGACGGGTCGGGGCGCGGGACGGGTCACGGCGGAGTGATGGTCGGGGCGGAGTGACGGATTGGGCTGGGGATGGGTCGGGGCGAGATCACGGTCGGGATTTGGAACGGGTCGGGGTGGGTTGACGGTCGGGATTTGGGACGGGTCGAGGCGGGTTGACAGTCGGGATTTGGGACGGGTCGGGGCGGGCGGGGGTGACGATCGGGATTTGGGACGGGTCGGGGTGGGGTGACGGTCGGGGCTGGGGACGGGTCGGGGAGGGTTGACGGTCGGGATTTGGGACGGGTCGGGGTGGGGTGACGGTCAGGGTTTGGAACGGGTCGGGGCGGGTTGACGGTCGGGATTTGGGACGGGTCGGGCGGGTTGACGGTCGGGATTTGGAATGGGTCGGGGCGGGGTGACGGTCGGGGCTGGGCACGGGTCGGGGCTGGGTGATGTTCAGGGCTGGGAACAGGTCCAACCAGTCGTCGGATACCCTCGCCGGATTGATGACAGCCGAAGCAGGGAGAGATGTGTGGAAAATCATAGATGTGAGAAAATAATTGATTGAACAATGTCGAATATACATTTCAAGAATTGCTGGAAAACACTGTGATTTTTTTTTTTTGCGTGACGGGCCGCATCCAGGCAATTTGCAATCATCAAAGCAAATAATGCTACCTAGCGTCTACCTAGCTTTCCTTTACTGACATATAACATGACCTAACGAAATAGCGAACGGCTGATATTGACAGGTGACAGGCTGGTGACATTGTCAAGGAGAGTTGGTGACAAGGTTAATGAGCGTTGGTGACATTGTTAAGGAACGAGTGACTGCGGGTACACGACCATAACCCGCCGTTAGCCCGTGGCTTACGACAACAGCCCCAATTGTAGCTTGCGGAGGGGGGTGGAGCGAATCCTTCCCTCGCGGGCCTCGGTCTGCAGCGCTGACAAACGGCTGGATACCCGGCCAGATCCTGCCCTCACGGGCCTCGGTCTGCAGCGCTGACAAACGGCTGGATACCCGGCCAGATCCTGCCCTCGCGGGCCTCGGTCTGCAGCGCTGACCAAACGCTGATACTCCGGGCCAGATCTGCCCTCACGGCTTCGGTATGCAGCGCTGACAAAAGCGGCTGGATACCAACGGCCAGGTCCTGCCCTCGGCCTCGTCTGCAGCGCGAAACGGCGGACTCATCCTGCCTCGCGGCGTCGCCGCGACAAACGGCTTACAAACTGCTGGAACGCCTGGACACCCGGCCAGGTCCTGCCCTCGCGGGCCTCGGTCTGCAGCGCTGACAAACGGCTGGATCCCGGCCAGATTGGGATGGGGACATGTGTTGGCGATGGTGGCCGCAGGTGGTGCCGGCGCCCAACGTCGAGCAACATTTTACGCAATGCGCAGAAAACTGAAATAATGGACGGGGGGGGGGCACAAATCAGATAAACTACAAACTTAGTGAAAGTTTCTAACCACGAGGTTAAGTTGTGGGCTTCCCGGAATAGTTCCAAAAGTTGAAGCTCGGTGCCCTTCCATGGGACAGAACTTGCATAGATAAGCCATGGCACGGTGAAATCATTATTCGTGCCCCTCTGCCGCAGGCAATGCGACCAACTTTTTCAAGACCGGCAGCAAATGTCAGCATGCCACGCAAGCGATACTTTTTGTTTCAATATTAAGCTGGCCTTAATCACGAAATTTTGCGCACTTCCTTGTGCTCTGCCTCTTTGATGGCTTTTAAAGTTCGCACTATATTGGGTGAACCGCGTGCCTCGGCACCCTTGCACCACGTGGCACCGACTGAAATAGGTTTGCTGCGACGCTAATAATCCATTAAAAAAGATCACACCTTGCACACGTGAATTGTTGACATTCTGTTCAGCCACTTCGGTAGCTCAAAACTCTCGTTAGTGCGTCTGCTACAGCTGGTATAACAGCACAATCATGTGTTCGTTACAGTCAGCCGGGGCCATTTTGGTGATGAGAGAGAGAGAGAGAGAGAGAGAGAGAGAGAGAGAGAGAGAGAGAGAGAGAGATGAGAGAGAGAGAGAGAGAGAGAGAGAGAGAGAGAGAGAGAGAGGAGAGAGAGAGAGAGAGAGAGAGAGAGAGAGAGAGAGAGAGAGAGAGAACTTGCACCGTCGCCGGCGACGCCACGCTTGAAGTGTGGCCCAGGGTCGTTGAGGGTCGAGCTTTGGAAGCAACGCTAGTCGGTCCAGCAACTCATTGGACGAAGGGGATTTTACGGCGATTCTTTTGGACTTTGAGAAAACAAGGACGGGCCGACCCAGTTGGAAGAAGCCTTCCAGAAAATTATACATGAGGAAGAGTCTCCAGGAGCAGCGAGCAGAAGGGAGAGGAAAGGAGACGCGGAGTGTACAAGCAGTACGGCTCGGCGGTGGCCGGGATCGAACAGCCAGACGACCGCACTCCTACTTTTACGCAGATGAATATTTGTGGGTAGCGCGGCCCAAAGGCGCGGTTTCGCCTCTCTTTTTTGAACTAGGAGACAGTCGACTCGCCTCCTTGTCTCTAACATGACCTCGGGTGTGACGGCATAAAAAGGCATAGGGCATAGTATGGTTAATGACCAGCTGGGATCACCCGGGATGCAGGATTATGCATGGCGGCAACTGGGTCTATCCCATTGGTGTGTAATGCCTTGAGAAAGAACAGGACACAACCTGCTCTCTTCCGAGATGGTGTTCATAAGGCGCGAGTGCAGTGTACGTATGTGAGGCGTGAGTGCAGTGTGCGTGTGTGAGGCGTGAATGCAGCGTACGTGTGTGAGGCGTGAGTGCAATGCACGTGTGTGAGGCGTGAGTGCAGCGTACGTGTGTGAGGCGTGAGTGCAATGTACGTGTGTGAGGCGTGAGTGCAGCGTACGTGTGTGAGGCGTGAATGCTGTGTACGTGTGTAAGGCGTGAGTGCAGTGTACGTGTGTGGGGCGTGAGTGCAGTGTACGCGTGTTAGGCGTGAGTGCAATGTACGTGTGTGAGGCGTGAGTGCATTGTACGTGTGTGAGGCGTAAATGCTGTGTACGTGTGTGAGGCGTGAGTGCAGATCACGTCGGACGCTCGCTGTCTGCCGGAGGGCAACACCGTCCCATCGGGCGCACTACCTACCTCCAGGCCTCTGAGGGACGTGCCGTGAGCGGTACTTTGCAAAGCTCACTCCAGAATGTGGGAGGCGAGGGCGCAGAAGCGCTGCAGGCGCTGCCTAAGGCGTATGCGCGGCAGCAGTAAGCTACGAGTGGTGAGCGTGGCCGAAGGAATGGTGGGCCGCCCATCGCCCATCTTCGTGGGCGAGACGCGGGGGGGGGGGGCGTCGTCCGATTAAGGAGCCGCCACCCCGGAGGTCAGGGAGCGAGTCATCGTCCTGATCCCGATCCAGAGGCTGCGTCGGTAACAATCTGAAAAATTAGCCTGATATGTCTTGGATAGGGCTGAAACGTTGATTAATTTGATTCGCGAAGTGTGATAAATCATCGTAATGTAGCTTAATGAGGACTCGCGCAAACGTCCCAACTGTAATGTCAAGGCGCAGGATAAAACGGGGGAGGGGGCGCACCCGTGTGCGAGCCCAGAATGAGTGGGATGGCGTGGGCGCCAGCAGATGTGTATGCTTGCAGTGAGTGTACACTTGCAGATGTGTATGTTTGTAGTGAGTGTACACTTGCAGATGTGTATGCTTGCAGTGAGCGTTTACTTGCAGATGTGTATGCTTGCAGTGAGTGTATACTTGCAGATGTGTATGCTTGCAGCGAGTGTATGCTTGCAGATGTGTATGCTTGCAGTGAGTGTTTACTTGCAGATGTGTATGCTTGCAGTGAGTGTATGCTTGCAGATGTGCATGCTTGCAGTGAGTGTATACTTGCGGATGTGTGTGTTTGCATCATCTGATTCGTATGGTGACCAATGGACTCCTCATTATTAACACGCTCTTCTAGAGAGGTGTGACAACAGCAGCCGGCAGCGCACAAACATCCAGGGGCGGCCTGGCGGCAGCGCAGCGCACGCACCCCACCATAGGACCCCCTCCCCCCACACTAACAGTCACAACGAAATTGACAACTACGTCGATCATATATATATATATATATATATATATATATATATATATATATTATACATATATTATATATATCATATATATATACATATATATATATCATATATATTATACATATATTATATATATCATATATATATACATATATATATATATATATATATATATATATATATATATATATATATATATATAATGTAAACAAGGCCAACCCGTGTTCGTTTGTAAATTGTCAACCTCCGTTCAGAATGGAGTAGCAAAAACAACGATGTGGGTTTGACCGTGCGCGCTCGCAAGTCCTCGGAACGCAAATCCTGACTCTTGCCGTTGTAATCTCCTCAGGCCGATTGGAGTCGGTCCTGCGGCATGTACTAAGCGGCAGCCAGCATGCGGACAAAAACGATCACGCTTCTGAAAGAAGAACGTATGAAAGCTCGAGGACATCCATTCGTGCGTTAATAAGGCAATCTGGGAGAATGTTTCACCTGAACGATTTTTCTATTTATGATAGGAAGGGAATATCAGGCGCCGCAAACCAATGCCGAAGTGCGAGGCGGAACTGGACGGGTCGGGCTCTCGATCTCCGCATTACTGTAGCTGTTACTGTTTCGTGTTACTGTAGCTGTTTCGGTTCCGTGTTACTGTAACTGGTAATGCGTGCAACAGAAAACCTCCACATCATAGAGGTAAAATTCTGCAGCATCACTTCACAGCGGTCCTGTCTGTGCGCCCAGTCCGTGACGGCCGGTGTCAGCTGCAGCGGCCCGCGTCGCTTGGTTTGATGAAACTGCAAGTCCGGCCGTCGGCGTTCGTGCCCCCACGCTCGCTTCCAGGGCTGCGAGCGTGCAGGCTCAACACGCCGCCGTGTAGTTTGCCTCACGGGTCGGTCCTGAAAACGAGTAAGCCCCTCAGGTATACGTAGGTTGCCTTTTCTCATTTTTGACCTCGTTCCGATCTGTCCTATTGAGCCCTTTGAAAACCCATTACCTTTCCAGGCCAGGGGCCCCGTGGTTAGAACACTGGGAGCACATTATCTTTGCTGATCAGGAGCCTGAAGGAGCATTCCATTCCAGCGCGGGTTGCCCACCGGCTGTTATGCTGGTGACGTGGGGCTGGTCCCCTGGTCGATACGGAGACCCTTAAAGGGATAAATCATACATTGGTCGCCACTCGGAAACGAGAAGCTCGCTAGGCCGGGCAGTTAGCCCGGGATCGACGCAGGGAGCATCATTTGCGTAAAGGTATCGTTTCGCCGTAGGGGTCCAATTACTGGCAAAGAGACTCCAGTTATGGATAACGGGCCCCTGGCTGAAATAGATTGGAGGGCGCCCGTTTGGTACTGGAGCCTCTTACTGGCGAAGGGCCCACCTATTGTACTGCTCTATATTGTCTTATGTATTATTTTGACCGACTCGAGAAGCCCCTGGCGTTCTGGGTGTCGTCTCCGTAACAGTTCAGGGGCCCTGACCGACTCAAGAGGCCCCTGGCGTTCGGGGTGTCGTCTCCGTAATTGCTCAGCAACGGCTTCTCTGGCCGGCTCGGGGCCGCTGGCAGACACAGGACCCACTGTTAGGCACTGCGAGCCCCTGACCGACGCAGGGGCCCTCAATGTTTCAGGGGTTACGACCAGTGGAAATCCCTGGTCCCGGCCTTGTCTCTGCTCTGGAAATAGGGTCCTCGGGCAGGGATCGACACAGGGCCAACTGCTCGGTGTTGATGGTCTATCCCCGAAATATCGGTCCGCAGAATCCCAAGAGGCTCCCAACCGGTATAAGAGGTCCTCTGGCCGACATTTGAGGGCCCAGCTCTGCGGTGTGGGGTCTTTAATGCGACTTAAAACCGGCCTTTCGGGTCCTTCAATCGGACCCACGATCGTTCGTCCCGAGGGGCCCATATGGTCCTTCGGGACGGACGGTCCCCTGGAACACTGTCCTTGGCCGACTTGTCAGGCACTTTGGGTCCCTGACTGACGCAGTAGACCCCTCACTGACTCAGGGGCCCTGACGAATCTAAATCATATGTTCCGGTCTTGTCCCTCCCTGCTCAGGAAACGAACCCCCAAGTCCAGGCCCACAGGGCGCCAGCTGTTCTGTACTAGTGGTTCTTGGCCTACGTAGAGGCCCTCGTCGAATCAAGTGTCATCTGGCTGACATTTGGGGACCCGACCCTGCGGGTCAGGTCCCGTCAATACAACCTCTGGTCAGCCTTTGAGGTCTTCGGGCCCCAAATCAGGCCCTTGGTCGTCTTTGCCGAGGGGGACGTGCCCCCTGTGCCCACCCCCACCCAACCCCAGGTCCACCCCCACTGCCTTCGTCACTGCACGTCAGTTCCTGTTAAGCTGTTCGCCTGCCAGGCGTCAGTTAGGATACCTATTCTTCAGTTGATGGTCCTTGTCTTTGGTACCGGACGCTGCATATGATGCGACCCGTTGTTTTTGTTTTGTTGTTGTTTTGTTGTTGTTGTTTTTTTTTTTTTTTGCTTTTTTGGTGGGCTGGGAACAGCCTGTTGGGATTTCATATTTTTTCCGGAGAAATATGCTGATTGAAAAGATAATGCCGTATAATAGTGTCTGGTGATATATTAAGTCATGTTTTTTTCGGGTCGAAAACGCCCTGTGGTGAAGTGCGCAGTAGTCCCCGTATGGTGGCTGGCGCGCGTCACAGCCTGGCCTGAGGAAGAGGCGCAAGCGGCGGTGGTCCGTGTTCACGAGAGTGACCTCAGAGGGTCCACGCTTTCCCAGTGGCCTGGCTGCTGGGAGCTGAGCGCGGACACCGGGCGGCAGACGTCAGATCGATAGGCGCCACTGACCGTAATCACCTACAGCCCCGCTGATCCGAAGCCAGGCACGAGAGTGGCAGCCGACCACGAGTGCCGGTGACTGATATTACTCCACCAAGGACGCTGACGAGTCTTGTCCAGCCCGGAAATAACTTCAGAGGCTGGCCAATGACGCTGACGAGTCCCGTCCAGCCCGAGGGTGGCTTCAGAGGCTGGCCGAGGCCACTGACGAGTCCCGTCCATCCCGGGAATGACTTCAGAGACCGACCGAGGACGCTGACGAGGCTCGTCCAGCCCGGGATGACTTCAGAGGCTGGCCAATGGCGCTGACGAGTCCCGTCCAGCTCGGGAATAACTTCAGAGGCTGGCCGAGGACGCTGACGAGTCCCGTCCAGCCCGGGATGACTTCAGAGGCTGGCCAATGTCGCTGACGGGTTCCGTCCAGCCCGGGGATCGCTTCAGAGGCCGACCGAGGACGCTGATGAGGCCCGTCCAGCCCGGGATGACTTCAGAGGCCGACCGAGGCCACTGACGAGTCCCGTCCATCCCGGGAATGACTTCAGAGACCGACCGAGGCCGCTGACGGGTTCCGTCCAGCCCAGGGATCGCTTCAGAGGCCGACCGGGGACGCTGACGAGTCCCGTCCAGCCCAGGGACAGCTTTAGGGGACGGCTGAAATCACTGACGGCAACCGGCGCCCCTCCCCCTGTTTACTCTGTGCGAGATGTAATGTCCGGAAAAAAATCCGTTTAGCTCCTCATTGATCTAGAGATGAGAAACAAATAGCAGGCGTGTTCCTTGCCGTGACAGAAAGCCAACAGCATCCGGCTATAATGCAATTTGTTTTTAAAGATTCAGCCTGATTTTCAACCACAGTTGAGCATAGTGTTTGGCTTTCCAACACCTTACCTCCCTCCCTTGTTACGTTTCCACTATGTTGCATTAAAACCCATCGCGCGATTTATGGGCATCCCAACGTTTGTACCCCTAGTTTTGCAGCAATTATTGCTTTATTTCTGTTGTTGATGCTGAACGCAAATACACCTGTCGACGCATTGACGCAATAACAACTGACATGCGACGCACGTGAACTATGATTATGTTCCCCAAAAGGTCATTCTATGGACAGGTTTTTCGCCATGCCGATGGTTACCCATAGGAACTAGTGCAACTGCATAATTCCAATCCTGGGCGATAACCCAGCCGAACGAAAAACTTTGCAACTGATTTAGAGTGATTGATGTCATGGTAAAGACCTCTGGGAATGTGCAACAGGTATACAAGCGTATTGATATGGGTTGATCATATTTCAGTTTTTGTTGATAAAATCTATATGATTCGCAAGCGTCATCTTACTATCCAACAGCAATTTGAATTTTTACGCGAGTTTTGCGGTGTTCAATGCAGTGTCTATCATAATTATGTGCTTCATAATCGTTCATACGTCCATATGTCCAATGCGGTGTTCACTGTTCATATGTTCAATGCAGTGTCCATCACAATTGTGTGCTTCGTTTCAACACCGATTCCTGACAATAACACAGGAACTTACTGAAATGTAGCGGCGCGACTTGAGCGCTATTTAATCAATGTGTTTTTGGCAGTTCTATTATAGCGAGTTTCTCGTTGTAGGGTGATGGTGGTCGGTTGGATGTACTCTGCCTTCATGGCTACGCTGCCCCTGGTCGGCATCGGCAGCTATAGCAAGACCAGGTAACCACCTCCATCAGCGCCGTCTGCGTTCAGCCCCTGCGCTTGGTGACAAACCCAACCAGCCGTGTGGCAGAAGCCTGCCCGGCCCCCTTGGGATAGTGCTCCAACCACGGCCGTCTGAAAGTCAAACGTACGCATGCCCCCACTGTCTCAGGATGCAACTGTCCGATCACAACCATTCAAACGACCACGACACGCCCGTCCAATCCCGCTCGTATATCGATCAGCTGACAGGTCTGTCACGTGACTTATGACGGCACTACGGGAACAAAATACACCAAACCCGTCCAGGCCTCTCAACGCCTTCAAAGCCCTAGCGCAGGCAATAACGGTGGTAGTGCTCTGCAGCGGACACTTTAGAACAGGGAGCGCGGCTGAATGTGCCCTACAGTGGTCATCTTTGGTCTTGGTCTTTGTGTGTCCCTTGTGAATATGTCCTACAGTGCTTTAATAAGGTATTAGTTAGCTGAGCAATGCATCACAATGGCCGGCACGGTACAACTCGCTATGGTTTGATGCAAATGCGTTAACCTCACATAAACTTTTCTAGTGACCCAGTCTGGCCCCACGCGGTACGACTGGCCCTGGCCGGCAAGCCAGTCGATAGGCTACATCAAAACAATTCAAAACGGGAAAGGAAGCTGCACATTGGTGCCTGGGTAGAAACATCAACAGCCATATAAACCTTCACCAATGACGTTACAATCTGGCGACCTGACGAAAAAGAAACGTTTTCTTTTCTCCAGAGTGTGTCAAGCTGCTGAAACTTCGTTTGGCTAACTGGAGCGGTTTGAAAAATTTTCTAGAAGCTTAGAGTAAAGGATGGAGGTGGGTGTGCTTTCACTGTACACGGGCCACCGCAGGTTAAAAACTGTACCACAAAATAACGCTGCATTGTGGGTACATTTGTATGCGTGCAATGCTAGCAGCATCGATGACCAGATTCACTTCATGTCATAACTTCTGCAGAGGATTGAAGTTTAGTTGACTAACTGAAGTGGCTGGTGCATGGACCTTGCACATGGCTGGACCATCAAAGTTATACGTGAGACGGCGCCGTTTCAACTTCGTTTGAGAACGAGTTTGAATCGACAACTTCTAAACGAGTTCTACTGAGTCCCCTATCTCAAGCCACGCAAGTAAATCGTTTGTCCAACTTAGCACGAGTCGATTGCAGATAGCATGGATGCTGATCTGGCTTTCGTTCTGTTCCTGAACAGTGCTGCTTGCACAGCATGAAGCAGATCTAAGTCTTCAAGGTTTCGAAAATTTAGATGATTTTCAAACTCCAATAGAGGCTGCCATTCTGGCCAGTATCGCCGTGATACCTCGTTCAGACGGCCGGATGAAGATGTTGATGGCACATCAAGCGGCCTGCTGTGTCAGGGCCAGCAGGCGTAATTCGTCACGACCAGCAGGCGTGCTGTGTCAAGGCCAGCAGGCGTGCTGTGTCAGGGCCAGCAGGAGTGCTGCGTCGCGGCCAGCAGGCGTGCTGCGTCAGGGCCAGCAGGCGTGCTGCGTTACGGCCAGCAGGCGTGCTGCGTCACGGCCAGCAGGCGTGCTGCGTCAGGGCCAGCAGTAGTGCTGCGTCACGGCCAGCAGGCGTGCTGCGTCAGGGCCAGCAGGCGTGCTGTGTCAGGGCCAGCAGGCGTGCTGCGTCAGGGCCAGCAGGCGTGTTGCGTCACGGCCAGCAGGCGTGCTGTGTCAGGGCCAGCAGGCGTGCTGCGTCAGGGCCAGCAGACGTGCTGCGTCAGGGCCAGTAGGCGTGCCGCGTCACGGCCAGCAGGCGTGCTGCGTCAGGACCTCAGGACAGGGCGGGCCTCGCGCGGCCTGCCGCCGCGGGCCCTGCTGACGCACCGAACGGCGACGGGCCCGCCATTCCCCAGAGTGATGTGTCGCCCAATGGGCCCGCGGCGTAATTGGATGTCAGTCGGCCAGCGGCATCCCCAACGACGATCACTTCACACACTCGCCGGTACACGATGCTGTTCCTACCGAGCGGAAAATCCGGCAGTAGGGATCTTCTCGAGCGTGAACCGAGACGACGGGGATCTCAGGGGACGCCAAATTATGCACGGCACGCACCGTTCAAGACGAGACGAGAAGATCACGTATGCCGAAGCGGCAGACCGTTCGAATTCTGCGGGCGTTTTGGAAAAACACAACGGGTCAAAATTGGAAGCCCGAGTCTCCGTGCCCGGCGCGCTGTCCCTGTTTGCACAACAATAGCCGTAGTCATATACGAACCTCGCAAACGTTGCAAATGATACTGGAAAGTCCTGAAACAAGGAATATGCCGCGTGGTATATTGTCACTGACGCAACACACAATGTATTCCACAATGAAAGGCATCTTTTTGTCGGAGACGCATTCATTAAACGTGTTAAGGAGGACCTGTTGTATGTTGTGCACGAGCGTTGCCCGCGCTACGGTGTATTTTTTAAAGAAAGAAGTAAAGCAGTCTTGGAGAAATGAAGCAAATAATTTGTCGTGTTTAAATAGTAAGAGCGGTTAAGTTATTTTAGAACATGACGAGTTTATTTATTAGCGTGACCCGGATCGAGGATAAGCGGACCGAAGCTAAAAAGAAAACGGAATGCGTACAAAGCTCTGGCTGTTAAGCTAAAGAAAGAGATTGAAGAACTCTTCTCTGAAGATGAAGGAGCTAGTTGCATTGAACACAATTGCCAGCAGCTTAAAGACCGCTGGAGACTATGAGGGAAGTTAGTGAAAACATTTGTGACAGCTTACAGTCTGATGAAGAAGCTGCGATATTTGTGGAAGGAACGTATCAATTTACCGACGCCTGTGACGACCTGATGGTGATGGTATCAAAGAAACAGGACAATAATGCCACTGAAAAGACGAGAAATGAAAGTGCCTGTACAGTGAAAGGAATAAAACAACCGGAGCTGCCAGTGTTCGAAGGAAATGCAGCCAAATTCGAAGATTGGGAAGCTGTTAATTTATCGAAGCATTCATTGGAGACACTGAAATGGACCCGAAGTTTAAAATGTTATACCTGAAAAACAGCTTAGCCGGTGAAGCACTAAAACTCGTAGAAGGCTACAAACCATCCGAGGCCGGCTATAGAAAAGCTAGAGAACAGCTGAAAGAAAAGTGCGGTGGAAAAACGAGACGAATCCATCACGAACTCAACGAAATCCGACACTTCTCGAACATCGCTGAAGGAGACACGAAGCGCCTGGAACAGTTCGCCAATCGCGTGGCCTGTCTCATCACCTCATTGAAGGAAATCGGTTCAGATAGCGACCTGTCTGGTGTGTCGGCTTATTACATTCTGGTGGCCGAAAAACCTCACCCTTCATGTGTCAAAAAATATCAAAGATGGTTAGGAACAGCAGGCCGTGAAGACAGCTTCGAAACCTTCGCTGAGTGGCTAGCTGAACAAGCTCGGCGTGAAAAAAGGGCGAAGGAGATGACCAAATCAGAAGACGAACCAGAAGCAATGAGATAAAAAACAGAGGAAGAAGAGCGTATGCCACGAATAAGATCAGCAAGTCACGTGATGCAAGTTAGGCGCAAGCAAGCTGCTATGTGTGTCAAGCGCGTCACCTGCTGCGTGACTGCGCGGAGTTCCAAAGCTAGGATGTATCGAGAAGATACGGATTTTGTAAATCAGAAAGGATCTGTTTCAGACGCCTCAGCGGAAAGCACCGCGGCGTCACGTGCAGGTCATTCCCAAGATATGCGGCTGATGGATGTGGCGGAAGCCATCACACTTTGCTGCACGCGCAGCAGCAGGAGCAGCACCAGTAGCTGCATCGTATGCCGAGTGAAAACCAGTCTGTGCAATGGCAAAATGTTACTGAAGTAAAAGAGCTTTACCCATCTCGATAGGCAAGTGAAAATAGTTGGATCAGTTCCAGCGGTGCACTGAGAAACTTGAATAATCCCAGTACAAGCTACAACACGTCGACCTCAGAACCCAAAGTGACGTGTGGGAAAATAGTCGTCCAGACTGCGCTTGTAGTGGTACAATATGGACATCATTCGGTTGTGCTTAACGCGCTGCTTGATCCCTGCTCAGATGCCTCATTCATGACGAAGGCTGCCGCGAGTGAGCTAGAATTCGATGGAGAAGAGCAAGTGCTACAGCTGGGTACTGTCAGCGGCACAGAAGATGTCACCATGAAGACGGGCATCGTGAAGTTGTCAAGTCTCCACAGCAGCTACGAAGCGTCAGTGAATGTTTACGTGATACAAAGTCTCGATGGTGCTTCAGTGCGTACTAACTGCAACACAGTGAAGAAGCGGTGGCTGCATGTGAAAACCGTACCATTCCCAAATATGAAGAACAGCAGTGTCGACATCCTCATCGGTCTGTGTGCGGAGACAACTCAGTTATTTGTCCCGCTTAGCTCCGTGAAAGGCGCTGCCTATGACCCAGTGGCAATTTTGACTCCCCTGGGCTGGACAGCGTTCGGCTTTATCAAAGAGAAACACGTCGGATCTGAATTCTCTGACCTGAAGATGGGGAAGAACGTGACTCACGTGTAAAAAACACTGAGGACTCACTTCTGAAGAAAAAATGTGAAGAGGAAGTAGAAGCGATTAGGTCAATGGCCGATTTAGAGGTCATTCAAATCAGAGTCAGAAGAGAGCCTCATGTCACGTGAAGAGCAGGGGCGCTGAAAAAGGTATCGGAGTCCACTCTCGTACAGCGGTCATCGGTACCAGGCGGCGGTCTCGTCAAGAAACGTAGAGCCACAGCTGATGAGCAACTATAGCGCCACAATGCAGCAGTCTTGTGCGGTTGGAGCAATCTCTGAAGCGACTCGGTGGCGAGCTGCCGGCCAAGTGCGGTGAAATTCTTGAAGAGTACGTGAAGAAGGGTTACATGTCAAAAGTGCCCGTCTCCGAAAGGACAAACATCAGCGAGAAGGAGTGGTTCCTGCCACATTTTCCAGTCATCCGAGAGGAGAAGGCGCCAACAAAAATCCGGATTGTGCACGATGCAGCCGCTAAGCATCGAGCAG